TGCTGCGGGTAATTAGCCGGGCTTTTGGAGTTTATATGCATTTAGTGCTGTAGAGAATTTTATTGCGAACACAATGATATCAAATTTATTCTCGTAGAAGGAGAATTGAGGTGACAAAGTTGAAGAGAGTATACACTTTTCGGAATTAACGCGCGCTTCCGTGACACGCTGGGGCCTATATCGCCCTGTCGAGGGGTGGCGCGCGGGGTGAGCGAAAGTGTTAAGGTTATTACTTTATGTACCAAAGTTTTTTTTTTATTTTTTTTTTTTTTTTACAGGTCTAAAACTGTTCCAACACAACGGCCTGATCGTCTCATCAGTAGACTCAAGAACTTGCAATGCGACAATAGTAAGCCACGCATGACTGTTTTACGCCAACCAAAAGGTCCCGATGGCACCAAGGGATTTATTTTAGAACGCACAATATCCGAAACTGTGCCCACTGAAGAACCTTAACTCCCTCCCTTTTCCCCTCCCTCCCCCTTCCCCAACCAGTTCCATCCTTCCCTCGCCTTCCTACCTTGATATATTATTACAAGACTATAGCAGAATGGAATCAAACATCCAATACAATTTTAAATTCTCATAACATTTTTGGTGAAGTCTGTCTGTCTGTCTCGTATTTGAAATGGAAGTTTGTAGTTTGTGTATGTATGCATGCATATGTATGTACATGTATATGCATATGTATGTTGGCTTTTCAAAAACTTTGCCAAGACCTTGAGGCAAACAGTTAAAGATCAATAGAGAATAAGTGGTGTGGAAGAAGGAGATTGAGTAAGAATGTGATTCATTCATTGAAGGAGAAGTAAGTAATGGCTGGGAGTTTGATGTTGGTGGTGGTGTGGTTGGTGCTGGAGCCGAGAGCACTTGCAATGTCACGTTGTAACCCAGTATTGCTGAATTTGTTGGAGTGAGTGTAACGAATGTGTTCGCAAAACGTTTTCCTACTGGAGGCCACTTAGGGTGATAATTTTTCCCTTGCTTTTGTTGCTTGTTCTGCATCTCCATGTAGTTTAGTGATGCTTAATAATAGAAAAAGGTCATCATACTTTGCAAACTTTACCTGCAGTGATTGTCCCCCAAGTGAGTGAATGATGTCAGGGAGAGTGAATGTTGTGTGAGCACTTGTTGTTTAACTACCTAGATTGTCACAACTTGGAGCTTAACAGTCTCATTTTCATTGTAGTTGTAGGTGATATTTTATGAGTGCAGAACAATCCCCAAATGACATTTGATTGTGTATATGACTTGCCAAAATTTCTTATTATGAATCATTATTGATGAATGTAAGCACTACTTAACCACTTTGCTTAAGATTTCAGTGTTATTAATTAATTGTAGGGTAGAGATTATAGCAGTCATCAAAAACATACAGGTATTGGCATATCTCGTTGTCCTTGGATATTTTGGCCAACTGATAAATGATGGTTTACTTTGATATGGTCGACAGTTGAAAATACCGTACTTTGGTTCAAGCAGGAGTGATGCAGCTGTCGGGTGGCCCCGCAACATTCTGCCTTGGTAGGCCATTTCTACCCATCATGTCAAAATTATATCGATTTAAGTCATTTAAATTTAAAGCTGTGAATTTTAATTTTAAATGACTTTGAGGCAGGATAGTGGAATTGTTACATGACATGGCATCATATATGCCTGTAATTGTGGCTTTCGAGTATATACTGTATGTATGTGTTATAAAAATACCTACATAATGTACATAATCACAAACCTATTATACAAGCAGGTAAAAATACAAAGCTTCCATTCATCCATCATATCCATGGGACGGCTACTGCTCAGCAGCCCTAACACAGTTATTGTTACCTGGTCAGGGGACCTGCCGTTATCCCTGCAAGGGCAATGCATGACTTGGTAAGAGGTTGTGTATGGTGTTGTGCAGTGTAGCACTTGATGAAATATTTATAAACTTAAGAAATTGATGCCATTATATCCAAGGAAAATGTGATAGTCTGTTTAAAGGTGAGAGCAACAGTTTTGAGCGCCTTGATTTCATTTAGGCTTTAAATATGCGTATAAAAACCTGCTTAAAATTTCAGCAATTGATAGACATGACAAATTTTATAATGACTAGATATACATCTATATTTCATAGTTGTTGAGTTGCAATGTTTTAAACTACTTGTGGTAGCAAAATTGGTTCATAGTTTTTTGGGGAAAGTGGTGTTAACTACCCGAACATGGCAGCTTCTTTTCAAAGAATCTGGAGAAAAAATCCTCAGATTCTGAATAAACATTGCCATTCTTTCTTCAGATTCTTTGGTGGTTAAAATCATTTTCTGTCGACTCAAATAAAAAAAAAGAAGGCTCAGAACTGATGTTCTTTCACAAAGGAAAATGATGATCTGCAAATGAGTTTCCATAATTATACCTCAACTATAAGGCTGTGTTAAAGTCTGTGATCCCACGCAACTAAGAGGGATAAATACGCAAAATAGACGTATTTATACATAATGCACTCGAAGGTACTGTTGTGTTGACAATGTTTAACCTTACCTGTGACACCACAAGTCTATGCCCAATAAATCTTCATACTGCTAGTTCTTTACCATTTGTCTGGCCTACTCAAAAGCATACGATGTTTAACTACGTTGTGGACTGGTCAGTGTGTGGATGCCTGTGACCCATTTTGATACCGTTGTCGGTAGGTTATTGGCAGCAGGAGCCTTGAAACCTAAAGTACACTACCTTCCTGCTTCCAGTGACCTCACTTGCTGGCGTGTGTGGAGGATGGACAGTCAGTCATTGTGCTGGATGGCTCTTATTTTATTTACTTGACAACATGCTAACTTTGCTGATGATACAGAAATACTATTTCAGGGGACTGTTGTTATTATAAGTCATTTTTTTATTATTATTATTATTATTATTATTATATGTAAAATGTTTTAACACCTTATTTCCACATGTCATTGATGTTGACAATTTATTTTGTCATACTTGGCCATTTTGGTTATTGAGACAATTTGGAAATGTTTGGTCAATATACGGGTATGTCAAAAGAAATGTGTGGATTTTTTATATTTTGCCAAGTACAGTAATAATGCCAACCCTCCGCTTCATATGTAAAGATAAGTGTTTATTATTAACCATTGGACAAGAGGAACACTATTCTCTTATGAAAATTGAATTCAAATCTGAGCATTCCATCATGGCAGCTTAAAAACATTCTTTTCATAAAATTATATGTACTAATAGAGAACAATGTGTTGATATATTTGTTTGTGATATACTTTAGCCTTTACTGTTGGATGTGCCGAAGTCTTGACATCCTATGGATGATGTGAACAGAAAACCCAATATTAACACCAAATTTTCAATATTTTCAATTTCAATAGTATGCTCTTTGAGCTTGATTTATGGAGCATGTTTCTTTGAAATAGTTTGACAATTGGCACAGTTGTCATCTGTCTTGTCCATAATGAAAGCCAAGACTAATCTTCACTCTTGGAGAGGGTTGGGAGATACAATTATGGCTTCATAATTATCCTGAATAATGTAATTGTCAAAATTTTAAATCCCAGAACTTCTTTTGGCAGGCTCTGTATAAAGCTTTAGTTGGTAATTTTATTAAGAAAATCTGTTGTTACTTTTGAATATCCAAAAATTAGATGGTGGAAGATTATAGTGATATGGCTGGATATTTCATGAGGTCCACGGTTGTGTTCCTACTTGTTTAAGTCACTGATTATTGTGACTTAAAACATTGATCTTTATAAACCTATCATAACAGGTAGTCAAATGATCTTAATAGGTAAACATCATTAAGTTTGGCAATTTCCTCGATATATATTAAAGTTGATGGTATATACGAGTGAGAAGTAACGTGGCTGGTGTGAAGTGATCCCGCTCAGAGATCACTCTGTGTGGTAATGGGAGTTTATTAATGTGTGTCCATTTGTGTAAAGGTTGTTTATTTACAGTCAGCATCTTAAGAACTGATAATAACTTTGTATAGATAAATTGAATCAAAAATTTTAAAGTTCTATAGGTATTTTTTTTATATATATAATTTCACTGTGAAATTGAGAGGCAAGTCCAGATGGATATGTATGGTAAATTAAAGAATGTAATGTCCAATAAAACTCGCTGTGTCTTCTTAATTGTGCCATGAATATACTCCTAATTATGTAAACCATTTAAGAAATTATGCTGTAAATTTCAAATTGAAGCACCCTCATCCTCCGAATGAAAATATTCACTGTTGCCTCAACATTTAACACTGCAATTGTGAATATTTATTGTTCGTGTGCCCCTCAGGAGTGGGTGCAAGCATTCATTTCCGCTCTCAATACCATGCAGACAAAGGTTGTGAGCCATTATAATTCTTGACAGTAATTTGAGATGTTCCCTGAAAGTGGGAAAAGTTGTGCTGAGTAGCCTTACTACATGCATATCAGGTCACTTGTGTGTACAAGGATGCACCCTTTTAATGGTCAGAAGCTTTGGATTAATGTTTTATCACCTGTTTTATTATTTTTTGTATTTTTAATGGTTTCCTAAATCAATTGACACTTCACAACTTTGCTCTTTAAATAGCTTACTACTTTGCACTGTTGGATATCTTGCTGCTACCTGTTCCCTCTTGTCACCATTTATTGCATGGCAAAGATTATGTATTATACATGTGCAATCAAACCATAAAATCAGTTTTGCTTGAAAAAAAAATTGATACTAAATTTTTTTTTATGTAAGGCCAACTAATTTTCTTGAGTACTGTACAGTACATTACTGACAATTTCCTGGATGTGTAGTGGTCATCCTCTGTACACAAATTTTTCTTCTTGCCTTAATTTTTATTTTTCATGTGGCATTTTATAACAAAAAACATACACCAAAGCTTTTGTATAGTCATAGTAGGCACCAGTGTGAATAAAGTGTAAAGGGATTGCTTTGCAAGACCGATATGCAAGTATTGCATTTTTTCCCCCTGGATCATGTTCTGAGTGTAATGTAAAGTGTAAGTTTTCTCTCATATAGGCAATTCCTCTTAATATAAATTAGTAATGTTTTGGGTTATAAGTCAGCCAAATGTTCTGTAGGTTGGTGCAGACTGTGTGTTTAACAAATCCAAATGGAACAAAAAAAAGAAAATAGTGTAAAAGACTTTAAATCTTAAGGTAATTAGATTTTTTTTTTTTTTTTTAGCAGGTGTGAGGATGTTGAATTGTTCACCATTCAAATATCAGTTTAAATCTCCTTACATTTGTGGCATTAAACGTAAGTTGCCGAGTAACAAAAAATAAAGCTACTTGAAAAACTTTCCTTATCATGTTGACCATGATTGTTTTTTAAAGCTACTTGTAAAAAAAAATCTAAAATGACAAAATGCAAAAAACTAGTGTACGTGTGCTTAAATATACAACTTGATTTCATTTTTATATTACGCTAAGTGGCCTCATTGCTTATGGTAACAGGAATGGAGAATGATAAGTTTTGTATCAACTCGAAAAAGTAATAAAAATATGCAAATTTAGGTGTTTTTATCTAACTTTTAAGATAGTTACAATACTTTTTGAGTGGTATAAAGGCAAAGTGTATTATATACTGCTCCATATAGCTTGTGGTGCAGGGGCTTTGATGTGAAGGGCAGTCGAGGGCGGCTTATGATACTGCTCTGCTGGTCCAAGGTTAGCAGTGATATACAAATCCGACATGTTTCAAACGGCCAAGTCATTGAAGGAGGAAATAAAACAGACGCCAAAAATTATAGCCTGATAACACTAACTTCACACAAATTTTTGGAAACAAAAAAATGCTAATAAGTAAGAAAAAATGCATGGAATCACAGCAGCTACTTAACACGGGTTCACAACGGGATGGGAGGGGGTGGTTGTTGTTGCTCATAATTACTAGACCACTATGACATTGCCTTAATTGCCATGGAAGTCAGAAGATGAGCAAAGATTTTGGTGTTCATTAGTGAACACCAATGTAAATATACTCTGCTTTCATGAAAGCTGTCAAATGTGACCATGATGGTACTGCACACGCAAGGAATTATTGATAAAGTAGGAAGATGTATCTTTAAGGTCCTAATGAAGAGAACCCAGTGTATAATAAAGTAGAATCTGAATCACCCACCATGAAAAGCTCAGTCCCCAGTCTGTGCTTACTGCAGTACTTTTTCTCATCTTCATTTTAGACATGAGCAAGGACACAAATTATAGTACATTTCATATTTTGTAGATGATACTAAGATTTGTACAAGTTGACAATATAGAGGACACAATCAGGTCATCAAAAAATGAGTAATGAAAATAAGTTCCAGCTCCTGCAGTATGGAAATATATAGAAATTGAAAGCACATTATCAAATGAAAGTATTATGAAGGGTTTGGGCGTAATCATGTTGGAATACAGCACTTGATTCTTAATGAGCACACTAAAGTAGCTGTCACAACAGCAAGAAAAATGACAGGTTGACAAGACGCTTTAAAACGGGATACCGTACCATTAATCTACGGCCAAGACACTAGTGTTCTCTAGGGTGGAATATTGTTGCACAATAACGGCGCCATTGAAAAGCTGGGGAAAGTGATGACCTGAGAACGGATAAAGCTCGTTTACTGCTAGAATCCACTTAATAAAACAATTTAAATTACAGTATTGGGAATGCTTAAAATGTTTAAATCTGAGTTCCCTAGAATGCGGGTGACAGATACATAATCATTTACGCTTGGACAGTATTACAGGGGCTGGTTCCAAATCTTTACACAAATTTGAAGGCATGGTAAAATGTGCAGACTAGCCCCCCATTGAAGAGCAGAGATGCAATTAGATATTCTGAGAATGAACTCTTATCTTGGAGTTGAATGGCGACCACCGGTCGGGTCGGACGCTCCTGAGGTGTCTCCGCTAGTATTTACGTTGGTCGATTGCTGGTTGGCCTGCTGGTAGTGGTTTGCCACTAACAGGGCGATATTTGGTTTTGCCATGGGGACTTCTCGACCTCCAGTGAAGAGGACATTGTCGGCTGGTCTGGCGTTTATGGTGCCGGTGGACCATCCGTTGGTTGAGGTCGTCCTAGTGGACGTGCTTCATGTGTAGCTGTTGGTCTTAGTGGGCATCCAGCTGCTTCAGGGCAACAGTGCTGTGGTCAAGTTCCACCTTCAAGCTGCCTTTCAGGCGTTTCTCGAGGGGCGTGTTTACCCTCTCCCTGATACTGCTGGTTCTGTTAAAGTGGTGAATCTTAGTGTCGCCTTGACGCATGTGGCGGTGCATGGTGCCCCTTCGAATTTCAGGACGAACTTTTAACCTCCTGTTTTGAATGATTTGGGACAGTGTTAAGTGTTCGTTGGTTGCCGGGCACTGTGCTGGGATGCTTGACGGCTCCCGCACTCTGACGATGTCGCTGAAGTGTAGTGTACCGTTGTTGATGTCCGTGTTGGGTTACACGCTCCGCTGCCTGTATCGGGGGGGGGGGGGAACCGCGCACCTGTTATCGGTGTGGTCACGAGGATCATCTGGCTGCAGCGTGCGACGTGGGAGCAACTGGTAAGGTGCATATTTTTCGTGAAGAGGATTTTCTGCCCCTGTCGCATTCGGGCGGTACTGAGGATGGAGTAGGTAGTGAGCCTGAGGCGCCTGATTGCCTGTCTGCTGTTTCGCCTGTTGCGGCGGGTTCTACGGCCTATGCGACACGTCTGGTGACTGCTGTGGCCCCTGGGGTTGTTGAGCCGGTGTGTGTGGGTGTTGGGCCGTCGCCTGCGCTGCGTGTAGTGAAGGATGTCCCAGTGAAGGTCCATGTCCCGCCCCCGCCTGTGTATGTGGTCCCGGCTCCCGGGGACGCGGGTTCTGCTGTTTTGGAGGGGGGTGCTTCGGCAGGGGGAGGTGCCTGCCGTGCCTGTGTGTGTCGGCAACTGTACTTCTGATGCTTTCATCCCTTTGCAGAAGCGTGCGCGCCGGTGTTCTGAGGCTGTTTCCCTGGATGATGTGGACTCTTCGGACGGTGCGGGTGTGAAGATGGTGGCTGTGCCTGCGGAGGGGCCTGCTGGGAGTGGTGTGGTGCGGCCTGTCTCGAAGCGTTCGTGGCGGGCTCAGAGTGACTCCCCTTCGTGGTGTGCCTTGGGAGGCGGTGGGGGAGAATGGTGTTCTGACGCCCCCGCCGTAGATGACGGGAGTTGTGAGGGGGATCAGAGTTGCTTCCTCTGCCCCCCCCCCCCTGCTGCTGGATCCCCGCAGTGGGGAGTTGCCCCTGATGAATGGGGCCTCGTCTTGGTGCTGAAGAAAGATGTGCGCCAGGGGGCGTCGATGCCGCGCCTGCGTCCCCTGCGGTTCCCCCTCCTTCGTTGCCCCTGTCTGGGGGAAGCCTTATCCCGGCTGCCGGGGTCGTGACCTGTGAAGGTCCGGTGTTGGGCCGTTATCGGGATGCCCGGGGGCCTCCGATCCCGTGGTGCTCTTATACTATCTGGGGTGCCGCGGGTGAAGGAGTTTGTTTATAGGGTGCCAAATAGGATGTCTTAGCCAAAGGCGCCGCCTAGTGGCCGGGTGTCCTTTGACACGTGGATGATTTGGGAAGCGTACTGCTTGCGCTTTCCGATATACAAGTTCCCGGAAAAATATTAGTAGATGTCTTTCACACAACGCTACGCCATGGAACAGCTGTCGCCACGAACTCGACGTCCCGCTCTACGGTGCGCGCGGCAAGTCTCCCTCTTCCATCCATCTCTGTTTTAGTCGCCGCTCCTCTATCTACGGCACTGTCTAACTTCAGGCTAACATAACTGGGCTAAGGCAAACATTAGAATAACTTAAATATGAATGATTAGATTGACATGCATCAACAGAGGTAATGTAGTTTATATAAAACAAATATATTTATTGATAATAATAAAGAGGAAACTGCTGGCAACTACACAACTGAACAGGATCAAAATTTATAATCATGAAATTCACAGGTCCTGGACGTATGACTAGAGCAAACCCGCTCCTCTCAACTGTGTTGCCAAACTATACGATATATATATATAACTGAAAACTCACACCCCAGAAGTGACTCGAACCCATACTCCCAGAAGCAACGCAACTGGTATGTACAAGACGCCTTAATCCACTTGACCATCACGACCGGACATAATGAGGTGATAGCCGAGGCTATTGCCCCAAAGAATGAGGTGATTTGGTAAAATGCTATGCCCAAGATAACTATCCGAGTGCCGGCGGTGGGGTGGTTCTAATAGCCTCGGCTATCACCTCATTATGTCCGGTCGTGATGGTCAAGTGGATTAAGGCGTCTTGTACATACCAGTTGCGTTGCTTCTGGGAGTATGGGTTCGAGTCACTTCTGGGGTGTGAGTTTTCAGTTGCATATTGTCCTGGGGACCATTCAGGCTTGTTCGCATATATATATATATATATATATATATATATATATATATATATATATATATATATATATATATATATATATATATATATATATGTCGTACCTAGTAGCCAGAACTCACTTCTCAGCCTACTATTCAAGGCCCGATTTGCCTAATAAGCCAAGTTTTCCTGAATTAATATATTTACTATAATTTTTTTCTTATGAAATGATAAAGCAACCCTTTTCTCTATGTATGAGGTCAATTTTTTTTTATTGGAGTTAAAATTAACGTAGATATATGACCGAACCTAACCAACCCTACCTAACCTAACCTAACCTATATTTATAGGTAAGGTTAGGTTAGGTAGCCAAAAAAAGCTAGGTTAGGTTAGGTTAGGTAGGTTAGGTAGACGAAAAAACATTAATTCATGAAAACTTGGCTTATTAGGCAAATCGGGCCTTGAATAGTAGGCTGAGAAGTGCGTTCTGGCTATTAGGTACGACATATATATATATATATATATATATATATATATATATATATATATATATATATATATATATATATATATACATATATGTCGTACCTAGTAGCCAGAACGCACTTCTCAGCCTACTATGCAAGACCCGATTTGCCTAATAAGCCAAGTTTTCATGAATTAATTGTTTTTCGACTACCTAACTTACCTAACCTAACCTAACCTAACTTTTTCGGCTACCTAGCCTAACCTATAAAGATAGGTTGGGTTAGGTTAGGTAGGGTTGGTTAGGTTCGGTCATATATCTACGTTAATTTTAACTTCAATAAAAATAAATTGACCTCATACATAATGAAATGGGTAGCTTTATCATTTCATAAGAAAAAAATTAGAGAAAATATATTAATTCAGGAAAACTTGGCTTATTAGGCAAATCGGGCCTTGCATAGTAGGCCAAGAACTGCGTTCTGGCTACTAGGTACGACATATATATATATATATGCCTTCATGCAAGAACAAAACATAATTAATATTATATTTTTCATTAATGTGAGTATTCCTTAAATAGGAAAACGTAAGTTACCAGCCTGGCTGTATGTACCTATGAATTTATTCATAGCCAAATATCTCCACACCTGTTACCAGCCTGGATGTGTATACATATGAATATTTACATAGCCGAATATCTTCCTTCCTTAGTTACGAGCCTAGATGTATTAAGGTATACATCGCTGCATATTCCTACCTTAGTTACCAGCCGGATGTATATACGAATGCATATAAACATAGCTGCATATTCCTATCTTACCGTTCTGATGTATACAAGGATGAATGTATACACAGCCGCATAGTTACCAACCAGGGTTTCCGCTGCAAGTTTCTTTTCGTCATTTAATCTCCCCTCAGCTGCTCTTGTATAGTTCATCATTGTAAACTTCAACATGAATGATCTTACACATGCCTTAACAAGTAAAACATCTGTAAATAAACCAAATATTTTAGGATTTTTAAATAAAATATTAATACACAACTTTGGAGAAGTATTTTAGGATTTTAAATGAAACAATAATACACGACTTTGGCCAAAATTTTAATATTCCTATCTAGCACAAACATTGCAACATAATGCAAGCATATATAATAACACAGTTTTCCTTTAATAAATTATTGATATCACATTAACTCAACCCAAATCAAATAGAACAAAATCGGTGAACAAAATGAACGTCTATCCCTAGGTCATTTATTAACATGAGAACACTGTCATTACAGACAATAATAACACTACTATAGATACCAGAACATGACCTGTTTCAGGCACTAGAAACAACTCAGCGTGACAAACATCAACTCCACATGTGACCTTTCATCAATGAACTAAAATTATATCAATAGGCTACTATTATCCTCTCATTTCAGCAATAAAAAGCTTTATTTACGAATTAATTATGTGGCTTTATATAATAAAGAAGTTCTTCAGTGTCTTCCAATATAAACAGACAAGGAACAAAATATAAAAACAATTAATAAAGGAAAAAATATAACCCACACAGGTGATGTTGAGGCTAAGGAAAGCAGTAGACGGTGGTGATGAGCAGCGTCAATATTAGGCTCCCATAGACAAGTTTACTCGTAAGTCTTGTAGTACAGTGTAGTACCAACACCGGGTCTTGTAGTAGTGTAGTACCAACACCGGGTCTTGTAGTAGTGTGGTACCAACACCGGGTCTTGTAGTACAGTGTGGTACCAGCACCGGGTCTTGTAGTACTGTATGGTACCAACACCGGGTCTTGTAGTAGTGTAGTACCAGCAGCGGGTCTTGTAGTACAGTGTAGTACCAACACCGGGTCTTGTAGTACAGTGTAGTACCAACAGCGGGTCTTGTAGTACAGTGTAGTACCAGCAGCGGGTCTTGTAGTACAGTGTAGTACCAACAGCGGGTCTTGTAGTACAGTGTAGTACCAACAGCGGGTCTTGTAGTACAGTGTAGTACCAACACCGGGTCTTATAGTACAGTGTAGTACCAGCAGCGGGTCTTGTAGTACTGTATGGTACCAACACCGGGTCTTGTAGTAGTGTAGTACCAACACCGGGTCTTGTAGTACAGTGTAGTACCAGCAGCGGGTCTTGTAGTACTGTATGGTACCAACACCGGGTCTTGTAGTAGTGTAGTACCAACACCGGGTCTTGTAGTACAGTGTAGTACCAGCAGCGGGTCTTGTAGTACTGTATGGTACCAACACCGGGTCTTGTAGTACAGTGTAGTACCAACACCGGGTCTTGTAGTACAGTGTAGTACCAGCACCGGGTCATGTAGTACAGTGTAGTACCAGCACCGGGTCTTGTAGTACAGTGTAGTACCAGCACCGGGTCTGTACAGTGTAGTACCAGCACCGGGTCTTGTAGTACAGTGTAGTACCAGCACCGGGTCTGTACAGTGTAGTACCAGCACCGGGTCTTGTTGTACAGTGTAGTACCAACACCGGGTCTTGTAGTACAGTGTAGTACCAGCAGCGGGTCTTGTAGTACTGTATGGTATCAGCAGCGGGTCTTGTAGTACAGTGTAGTACCAGCACCAGGTCTTGTAGTACAGTGTAGTACCAGCAGCGGGTCTTGTAGTAGTGTGGTACCAGCACCGGGTCTTGTAGTACAGCGTAGTACCAACACCGGGTCTTGTAGTACAGTGTAGCACCAGCAGCGGGTCTTGTAGTACAGTGTAGTACCAACACCGAGTCTTGTAGTACAGTGTAGCATCAGCACCGGGTCTTGTAGTACAGCGTAGTACCAACACCGGGTCTTGTAGTACAGTGTAGCACCAGCACCGGGTCTTGTAGTACAGCGTAGTACCAACACCGGGTCTTGTAGTACAGTGTAGTACCAGCAGCGGGTCTTGTAGTACAGTGTAGTACCAGCAGCGGGTCTTGTAGTACAGTGTAGTACCAACACCAGGTCTTGTAGTACAGTGTGGTACCAGCACCGGGTCTTGTAGTACAGTGTAGTACCAGCAGCGGGTCTTGTAGTACAGTGTAGTACCAACACCGGGTCTTGTAGTACAGTGTAGTACCAGCACCGGGTCTTGTAGTACAGTGTAGTACCAACACCAGGTCTTGTAGTACAGTGTAGTACCAACACCGGGTCTTGTAGTACAGTGTAGTACCAGCAGCGGGTCTTGTAGTACAGTGTAGTACCAGCAGCGGGTCTTGTAGTACAGTGTAGTACCAACACCGGGTCTTGTAGTACAGTGTAGTACCAGCACCGGGTCTTGTAGTACAGTGTAGTACCAACACCAGGTCTTGTAGTACAGTGTAGTACCAACACCGGGTCTTGTAGTACAGTGTAGTACCAGCAGCGGGTCTTGTAGTACAGTGTAGTACCAGCACCGGGTCTTGTAGTACAGTGTAGTACCAACACCAGGTCTTGTAGTACAGTGTAGTACCAGCAGCGGGTCTTGTAGTACAGTGTAGTACCAACAGCGGGTCTTGTAGTACAGTGTAGTACCAGCAGCGGGTCTTGTAGTACAGTGTAGTACCAACACCGGGTCTTGTAGTACAGTGTAGTACCAGCACCGGGTCTTGTAGTACAGTGTAGTACCAACACCAGGTCTTGTAGTACAGTGTAGTACCAGCACCGGGTCTTGTAGTACAGTGTAGTACCAACACCGGGTCTTGTAGTACAGTGTAGTACCAACACCGGGTCTTGTAGTACAGTGTAGTACCAGCAGCGGGTCTTGTAGTACAGTGTAGTACCAGCACCGGGGCATGTAGTACAGTGTAGTACCAGCAGCGGGTCTTGTAGTACAGTATAGTACCAGCAGCGGGTCTTGTAGTACAGTGTAGTACCAGCACCAGGTCTTGTAGTACAGCGTAGTACCAACACCGGGTCTTGTAGTACAGTGTAGTACCAGCAGCGGGTCTTGTAGTACAGTGTAGTACCAGCACCGGGTCTTGTAGTACAGTGTAGTACCAACACCGGGTCTTGTAGTACAGTGTAGTACCAGCACCGGGTCTTGTAGTACAGTGTAGTACCAGCAGCGGGTCTTGTAGTAGTGTAGTACCAACACCGGGTCTTGTAGTACAGTGTAGTACCAGCAGCGGGTCTTGTAGTACAGTGTAGTACCAACACCGGGTCTTGTAGTACAGTGTAGTACCAACACCGGGTCTTGTAGTACAGTGTAGTATCAACACCGGGTCTTGTAGTACTGTATGGTATCAGCAGCGGGTATTGTAGTAGTGTAGTACCAGCAGCGGGTCTTGTAGTACCTATGGTATCAGCAACGGGTCTTAAAGTACAGTATAATACCAGCACCCGGGGCATCAGCAGCGGGTGTAGTTTCTGGTAAGCTGAGGCAGGTCCTATTTCCACCAGGTACTCTCCGCTTCTTGCTCAATTACGTCTTTGTCAGCAGAAAAGTTTCTCTCAACAAGTTCTGTAATTTCTTCACTTCTTCCAGTAGGTAACAAAATTCCATCCTGAAAAATAGATAAAAATCTTATATAAATCCAGTATGTATGAATAAAGGCAGAATTATCTAAGTTGGCGATGCCAAGATATGGTTACCCGGCATTCTGCGTACATCAACGTGGTACCTTTTCCGTGATGCTATGTTCAAACTGTATGTGAGAGGATGGATTTTACCAATTGTCTTAATGTATGCAAAGTGAGTGCTCCGCGACAGTTGAACTCTCACGAATGCACAGTGTGTGTGCACGAGGTCGAGTTTGGTCAATTCAAGACTTAGCTATGCTTTGTTGGGTATCTGAGAAAAGTTCATGTCACCAGAAGGCCAATGTTACTGCGAGGGCCGTCGCGTACCTAGCCGTTTATTAATTACAGCGAGAAGTGATGTATATCAACTAGCTAACTCTAGTGATCCAGTATCCAGAAACAATGCCAGGGGGAAACTTTAAGAGTTTGCGATCATTCGGATGCCAGAAAGCCCAACTGACAACGTGAGCACTAGGGCCCCCCGCCATGACGTAGTTATGACATCACGGCCTCTCACCACCCGGAGGGAACTGTCCTGATTGGTGTAGGCCACAGTGCCCAGTGCCTGATTGGGTAATTTTATATATATTTAGCACCTGCCACCCCGTGTCAACTGTATTACTCGCATGTCACCACGTGCGGTCATTGCGTGAGTTGCACCTGCCACCCTGTGTCAACTGTCACTCGCATGTCACCACGTGCGGTCATTGCGTGAGTTGCACCTGCCACCCTGTGTCAACTGTGTTACTCGCATGTCACCACGTGCGGTCATTGCGTGAGTTGCACCTGCCACCCTGTGTCAACTGTCACTCGCATGTCACCACGTGCGGTCATTGCGTGAGTTGCACCTGCCACCCTGTGTCAACTGTCACTCGCATGTCACCACGTGCGGTCATTGCGTGAGTTGCACCTGCCACCCTGTGTCAACTGTGTTACTCGCATGTTATATTATTTTCTCATTGATTATTATGCTGCGTACATCGCAGTGTTGTACGTGTGTGTATTATCATACAGAGTTGAGCATAATTATTGATCTTGGTTTGAGTGACAGTGGGTTTAATGTTAAGTAATAATTAAATTGTTCAATGATTTGTTGCAGTCCTTAGTGACAAGTGTTAACTTAATTTGTTGTTTGGTTGAAGATTGTCCAAGTGACAAGTATCTCTTTGTGAGAAGTTGTTATTTTGTTATTGTTATGTGAGAAGTTGTTATTTTGTTATTGTTATGTGAGAAGTTGTTATTTTGTTATTGTTATGTGAGAAGTTGTTATTTTGTTGTTGTTATGTGAGAAGTTGTTATTTTGTTGTTATGTGAGAAGTTGTTATTTTGTTATTGTTATGTGAGAAGTTGTTATTTTGTTGTTGTTATGTGAGAAGTTGTTATTTTGTTGTTGTTATGTGAGAAGTTGTTATTTTGTTGTTGTTATGTGAGAAGTTGTTATTTTGTTGTTGTTATGTGAGAAGTTGTTATTTTGTTGTTGTTATGTGAGAAGTTGTTATTTTGTTATTGTTATGTGAGAAGTTGTTATTTTGTTATTGTTATGTGAGAAGTTGTTATTTTGTTATTGTTATGTGAGAAGTTATTATTTTGTTGTTGTTATATAACCATCATTGTTGATTGCCACTGCAAGGGTTGAGTCCAGTTGAGTTCAAGTGTTCACTAGTGTTCACTTAGTTGACTTTGTTTCTTTTGGCCGTGCCAGGGGGGGGGGGGGCTAGAGACTAGGTCTAGTGATTACCAGTCAGAGTTGTGGCACCGTGTCTTGCTCCAGCTGGTACTGTTTAGCTGTTGGAGTGACACTCTGGAATTAACGTAACGTAACTTTGTTATTACCGTGAATTAATAAGTAAGTTTGTTGAATAAATTGTTGTTATTGCAAAAGTGTCTTTTCGTCAACAATCTTTAATGAGTACTTCTCGTTATTATGTTCTGCTAAAGCTACTTCCGAATTCTTGAATTAACAGGTTTAAGCTCTGGGATCAAGCCCACAGCTTCAAACACTAAATATTCAATTTTGGCTTGAGAAACCATTTGTTACCCTCTAGATTGATTATTCAACTGAGGAGCTAACGACCCAGTGCCAGGAGGAACAAGTAGTTGGAGCTCGGCGTTTGCTCTTGCCTCCTAAATCATCTTGCACCCAATCTGGGCCTAAGACTTGTGCAGGGAAAATTGGTACCATCACACTGCATAAATGTGCTCAAAGTGGTTTTGAAATGGGGATTAAATATCAAATAATGATGTCCGTAGTGCAGTCGGTTCATAATCAAAATACAGGTTGGGCAGAGATATTTGTCCATGTTTCCATACTTCCTGTTCACTTAGCAGTAATAGGTTACCTTACCTTACCTTGAGGTGCTTCCGGGGCTCAGCGTCCCCGCGGCCCGGTCGTCGACCAGGCCTCCTGGTTGCTGGACCCCGGAGTAGGTAGGTACCCAGGAGTTAGACAACTGCTGTGGGTTGCATCTTAGGGAAGATTAGTAGCTGGCCTAAGTGGACCTCGCTAAGCATGCCAGGCTTCCTATTCCCTGACATTGGGAAACCATTTAGTTCCTGGATAGATATAAGTTACTATCTGCTATTCTGTTACAATTTCAGCTGTTCCACTCAACATGTAATAATTGTCATCCTTTTTTGGTCTACTTCAGTTCAATTTCTTCAGTTCTCAATTAGTTTTAGGTCTTAGTTTAAAAAAAATCTTACATCTTGCGGGAAACGTAGAGCGTATTAGGGGCTTTAGGCAGAGTACATACTAGTTCTTCTTCTTAAATAATAAATAAATAAATGTTTATTTAGGTAAGGTACATACATAAAGAGATTTTACAAAGTTTGTTGGATTAATAGATAGAGCTAGTACATACAATGCCTAAAGCCACTATTACGCAAAGCGTTTCGGGCAGGTTCTTCTTGATAGTAGGTGCAGTGTACATGAAGGGTTAGTCCTCCCGATGACTGCACCAGTACACATGTAGGGAGACGCGTGTATGTTGAGAATAAGAAGAGTGACAAAAGTGCCTGTTGCGTCGAGCCGTAGATAGAGGAGCGGCGACGAGAACAGAGGCCTATTTGAGAGGGAGACTTGCCGACCCGGAGGGCGGTACGTGGTGTTTAAGGCGTCGCAAGTTGATCTACAAGTTCAGCATGGTGTGTATCACATTGCGCTGGGACCCATTGGATAGAAAGTACAAAACACGGACATAAGCGAAGTCAAGGCACACAACCATACTCCTGACGGGCCCCAGCAGACATAACCAACGGGAGACGAGAGCAAGCTACGCCACACCTATTCATATTTCTCCGGAAAGTCCGCCACCGGAAACCGGAGACAGTACGCCTCCCAAAGACACTCCAAATCAGGATTGACAGGTGCACGAGGACGTGCCATGAATTCCGGAACCCCCGGACATAAAAACACGTACACGAGGTACCCAAATAATAGACGGGCACAGAGGGATCGTCAACACCTGCTCCCACTGTAAAGAGGTGCCACCATCACCACGCCGCCCTAGGTACCACCCCATCAACATCCGCAGACTCTCAAGCATCAAACTCACCCACATCAGCCCAGTTAGGAGGAGTGAAACACCGCGAGCGCTTGGAACACGACTGCACATCGTCAGAGCCGGAGGCAGAACCTGAAGCATGGGAAGCGCAGGAGGGATGCGCTTTCGCATGACGCAAGACGTCAGCAGCCCCGACGACAGGGGGGACCGGTCCCAACACGGCAGAAGGCCACACCTCCACACCTCCCCCCCCCAGCAGAGCCGGGACTAGCAGCAAGGTCGGAGAGACAGAATCCACAGGACAAGGCAGATGAACAGACGCAGAAGACGAAGAAGCTGGAGACGGAGAGGGAGCACCCGGGAGATCTGCTGCAGCACCAAGAACGCCACCAGCAGCAGTACACCCAACCGAGGATGGCACAACCACCGGAGCACAAGCCCCACCAGGAGCAGGCGCACCATCCGACACAGGGTGCGTCACATCAGCTAGGAGGACGTCCACAAATGCATCCACCGGGTCCTCCTCCACAGCCAGCAATAGGAAATCTTCCTCACGAAAGAGTCACTGGAGGGGCGACAGCCGCCGAGCAGGCAGCAGCTAGGTGGCCCGACAAACCATAGCGAAAGCAGGTGTGAGGCTGACGTGGGTAATAGACTCGGACGTACTATACCATGAGCCGCACCGAGGACGGGATGTCCGACCGCAGCCGCATCCCCAGAGTGCGGATACTAGTTCGAACGCCCTTAAGCACCCCGGAGGAAACCATATTGAGCCGCACACCCAAGACAGCACCAAACTGCCCAAAGTAGCCCTGCAGCAGCCCCTCCGGGAACTCAAGGGGCACACCATGCACGCTGACAAAGGTGATGGCCCCACTGCGGTCCGAGATGACCACCGTACCAGCAGCGTCCGGCAGGGGCGCCCCTCGTAATGGCGAAGAAACACCCTGTAGTCGTACTCACACGCAAACTTCACAACAGCCCGATGCGGTGACACCAATTCCACACCATAGATCGCTGCCACGGAGACACGCAGCATATCACATAACACTAATTCCACAGCCGCGTAGTCGGCCCTTCCAGTAAATTCCAGACCCACTGAATGAGCCCGCAAAACGGGGGGAATGGCCCCCCCCCAATCACGCCAGCCACATCAGCAAACTACGAGGTCGCCAACCTCCTGCCAGCTGGGGGCTAACTCCCCTATACTAGTTCCATTTAGAAATTCAACATTCTGCTCGTAAGTCATTTTGTATGTATGTTTGTTTACCTATATAACAAATTATTATTATGTAAGACTAGATAATGTTCAGAAAAGAGCATGAACGCTGGGCAATGATGTACAGCAGAAGTCTATTGATCAGATGCCACCCTTACAAAATATCAAGACAAATAAAGAGCACCACGATCACAACCCTACAGACGCCGACGTAAATATTTTAAGGCAGCTCTCCCACAAGAGCTGGATGATAGAGCGACGGTCTCGCTTCATGCAGGTCGGCGTTCAATCCCCAACTGTGCAAGGGGTTGGCCACCATTCCTTCCCCTGCCCATCCCATCCCAAATCCTTATCCAGACCCCTTCCAAGTGCAATATAGTTGTAATAGTTTGGCGCTTTCCCCTGATAGTTCCCTCCCTTCCCTTTTCCACCAGACTACGATACTTTTTTATATTTGAATATATATTTTTTATATTTTTTATATTCGGCTTTGCCCGAAACGCATTGCGTAATAGTGGTTGCCCGAAACGCATTGCGTAATAGTGGTTGCCCGAAACGCATTGCGTAATAGTGGTTGCCCGAAACGCATTGCGTAATAGTGGTTGCCCGAAACGCATTGCGTAATAGTGGCTTTAGGCATTGTATGTACTAGCTCTATCTATATATCAATCCATTAATGTAACATCACTTGTATGTATATACCTTACCTGAATAAACATCTGAATCAACATCTGATTTATTTTTTATTTATTAGCCACTAGCCCCCATAGCGTTTTGGGCAAGTCCGTAATCCTAATTTTCACAAACACATACATCCCCAGGAAGCAACCCGTAGCAGCTGTTTAACTCCTAGGTGAAAAGAAGCATCAGGGTGAAGGAAACTCTGCCCATTTGCTTCCGCCTCCTCCGGGGGATCGAACCCGAACCCTTAGGAGTATGAACCCCGAGCGTTATCCACTCAGCCTGGTCTGGATCAATATCTTTCAATTTGTTCAGTATTTTAACCCCTGCACTGCTCACCCATTTTCGGCAAAAACGTCTTGGTGCAATTGTCAAGGCCATATTTTTGTTGTTTTTATAAATGTTCAGGTAAAGTTAATGTTAAAATGTTTCCAAAGTCAACTATTTCCATTTCAAAACACAAAGAGTAATGAAAACATTAAAAAACAATAAAATATAGCCTAATTAAAAAACAAAAAGCGCAACTCTCAAGAGCGCCTAAAGGTGCTTTGCGCAGTGCACAGGCTTCGATGAGCTCAGCCCTATCAAGTCTTTGTTTTTTTTTTTATTTTGATTGTTGTCGCAGGAAGCAGCTAGTTTAATGTACACTCCATAATGAATTGTATGAATTGTCAAAATACTCATCCTGTGAGCGGTAGCACAAAAATAAAAGAGAATAACAGAGAACACAAAAAGTCTTAAATCACACTTCAGCGTGATTATTATTATTAGTCTTCACACTACATTATTCTTCATTAGCCTCATTTAAGTAATTTATCTACTGGAAGCGAAATATGGGCACAGATCATGGATTTAAAATATATTATATATTGTAATTAGATAGTTTGCCATTTCATGCAAGCATGAGCTTAAATTTATCTGTAAATGGCTAATATTTTTCATAGCCTAAGATATAATGGTTAGGTGTGTGTCCCCTGTCTTTGTCCATACACTTTACATTATCTAGGCCTCTGTACAAACCCAACTTTTTTTTTTTCTTTCTTTCTTTTTTTTTTATATATACAAGAGTTGTTACATTCTTGTAGAGCCACTAGTACGCGTAGCGTTTCGTGCAGGTCCCTGGAATACGATCCCCGCCGCGAAGAATCGTTGTTACAACCAAGTACACATTTTACTGTTGCGTTAAACAGAGGCTACAGTTAAGGAATTGCGCCCAGTAAATCCTCCCCGGCCAGGATACGAACCCATGACATAGCGCTCGCGGAACGCCAGGCGAGTGTCTTACCACTACACCACGGAGACTGTAAACTCTCACAGATACCTGTAGCCAAGTCGTATTCGAGCTGTGACAACGTCTGTTAGTCTGCTGATTTTGTTCCCTGCCCCCATACACACTACAGGCACATGGAATAAATGGAAGAATACTAACGAGCGCTATGTCATGGGTTCGTATCCTGGCCGCGGAGGATTTACTGGGCGCAAATCCTTAACTGTAGCCTCTGTTTAACTCAACAGTAAAATGTGTACTTGGTTGTAACAGCGATTCTTCGCGGCGAGGATCGTATTCCAGGGACCTGCCCGAAACGCTACGCGTACTAGTGGCTCTACAACCATGTAACAACTCTTGTATATATCTCCAAAAGAATGGCTAAAACAATGGTTAAAACAAAGAAAACAAAGTGACGTGCAAATGACAATGAATCTGACTGGAGAAATGTGGTGAAGTGGGGTACCACAGGGGGCCATTTTGGGGCCAACCCTTTTAGTCATATACATCCATGGCATAGATGGGAATATTACAAACCACATCATCAAATTTGCTGAGACACTAACGAAAAGATTTATGGTAAAGTGGGACATGATAATGACGTTGAAGCCTTTCAAAGAGATCTACATGAACTCCACAACTGGTCACAAGACCATTTTTAATATTAACAAATGCAAGACTCTGCATGTGGGCCATAACTACCCAGGTTATCTTGAGATGATTTCGGGGCTTTAGTGTCCCCGCGGCCCGGTCCTCGACCAGGCCTCCACCCCCAGGAAGCAGCCCGTGACAGCTGACTAACACCCAGGTACCTATTTTACTGCTAGGTAACAGGGGCATAGGGTGAGAGAAACTCTGCCCATTGTTTCTCGCCGGCGCCCAGGATCGAACCCGGGACCACAAGATCGTGCAGTACAGCGTGCTGTCTGCTCGGCCGACCATCTCCCTCGCCACAATTACTAAATTAACAACATTACATTACATCAGATTGATGAAGAAAATAACCTTGGAGTCAAAATCCACCACTCAATGAAAGTTGCACAACAGGTAGGGACAGCAGGCAAAAAAAGCTAGCCAAATCCATGGAATAATCAAGCGTACCTTCGACTTTAAGGAAAAGAAGATAATGATTTATTTGTATAAATCTATGGACTGGATTGCATTTGGATTACTGAATCCAAGCATGTAGACGACACCTTCAGGACATAGCTGCTCTGGAGAAGTGCAACACCGGGCAACACAAATCAGTCCAGAGCTGAGTCAACTCACGTATCTGGAACGGTTGAGGGCCACAGGGCTAACAACACTGCAAACCAGGCATGACGGAGCGGACCTCATTGAAAGGTTTAAAATACTGAACAATTTGGAGGATGTTGATCCGGAAAATTTCTTCACAACGTCAGATATAACAAACAAGAAGCAACGGTTTCAAGGTTTCAAGCTAAACAAGCCACAATGTAGAACTGAGAACAGGAGATGCTTTTTCACCCACAGGGTTATTAAACCACGGAACCGCTTACCCGCCGAAGCTGTAAATGCCAAAACTATGTTAACTTTTAAATTACAACTGGAAAAGGGCTTTATCAGCCAATACCTGCTAAAGGAACATATATCCAGAGCTGCATTATATCAATCCAGCAGATGCGAAGTTGTATATACTCACCTAGGTGTGCTTGCGGTGGTTGAGCTCTTGGTCAAGAGATGATCTATCTTGAGGTTATCTTGAGATGATTTCGGGGCTTTTTAGTGTCCCCGCGGCCCGGTCCTCGACCAGGCCTCCACCCCCAGGAAGCAGCCCGTGACAGCTGACTAACACCCAGGTACCTATTGTACTGCTAGGTAACAGGGGCATAGGGTGAAAGAAACTCTGCCCAGTGTTTCTCGCCGGCGCCTGGGATCGAACCCAGGACCACAGGATCACAAGTCCAGCGTGCTGTCCGCTCGGCCGACCGGCTCCCTATGGTGTGTGTGGATATCCAATGGGCCAGACATGTGCACCTGGACAATCAACAAATTAGTCAATCATTTTAAATTAACTAATAAATACATAAATAGCTATGTATGGCGCCTACCTTTTCGCTCCTACGATGATCATCTTGTTGACAAAGTTATCTAACTTGGATTCCTCGTCGTTTACCCTGTCGTCTGAGTCGCTCGAATATGTTGAATGGTTATCGACGGTGATGAGCATCCTAACGTTGACCTGGTCATCTGAAGCGGAATCCTCTTCACTCTCTCTCTGTATAATTATTAAGGCAAAATATGAATACATGTGAAGCTGTATGTCAAATATTAACAATGAGTGAATGTTTGTGTTTGAAGGACAGAGAGAGAGAGAGAGAGCAACATTGCAAGTACCTTCAGCCAGGTATTTATATATTTATTGATTTATATATATACAAGAAGGTACATTGGGTTTGTGAGAATACATTGGATAGTACAGTATTTACATTCTTGTAAAGCCACTAGTACGCGCAGCGTTTCGGGCAGGTCCTTAATCTAACAGATAATTTTAAGTAGGTAATTTCTATCAGAATTGATAAATGATAAAGATACATTGCAAGAGAAAAATGAGATGAGAGAGCTTAGTAAGTATATTAAAGCACATACGGTATACATACGGCATACGTAAGTATATTAAAGCATGTACGGCATGGCGTGCAACACTAGATACACCTTAGCAGAGTTACTGCTATGTCTAAGGCCAATGTTGCCAAGATTCCCCACCTGGTCAGACTCCGTGGCCAACCACAAGTTTACAACAACAGCACAAGGAGCTCAGCCATCATCAGCCTCATACTGACTGTGTAAGTCTGAACAACATCTTTGCAAAAGCGATAATTCATTCTTGGGCTGACTTCCATGTGAATAATGTTCGCTTAACTCAAAGATATGCATTAAATTCTGTCAATCGACCACATGTAGACCTACAGTTGTCTACATGTGGTCGATTCAACTGTATATATATACAGTTGAATGCAACTTTTTGTCTAACACGACTTCAACTTTATATTAAAATAAAATTCATTCCTAATAAGAAAACTAATAATATGGTAAATGTAAAGTTTCTAGAGGGGGGGTCAGGTTTCAAATGAGGTTAAATAAGATCGAAGCTCTTATATAGCTTACAGTGTCATGACGAACATCAGCACCATTCCTTATGAACCCATCATAGTTTGGAAAAAAAAAGAGAATGAATTTTATGTAACGTGTTTCACAAAAATAATGGCTAGCGTCAAATTGTTGATGTTTAAAAAAATACTACCAATGTTATTCTATATTCTATTCATCCTGCTGTTTCTACCCGTGCTTTTTTGTATCACAAAATTAACACTAGCTGTACGAGCTTGCCGCGAGCTCAATACAAAGAACACACTTAGGTATACATACATACTTACATACTTATATACATACACACATACACAGGTATACATACTTAGAACATACATAATTACACTTAGGTAATTACACACGTAAATTTACAGTCTGCGTGGTGTAGTGGTAAGACACTCGCCTGGCGTTCCGCGAGCGCTATGTCATGGGTTCGTATCCTGGCCGGGGAGGATTTACTGGGCGCAATTCCTTAACTGTAGCCTCTGTTTAACGCAACAGTAAAATGTGTACTTGGTTGTAACAAGGATTCTTCGCGGCGGGGATCGTATTCCAGGGACCTGCCCGAAACGCTACGCTACTAGTGGCTCTACAAAAATGTAACAACTCTTGTATATATCTCAAAAAAAAAAAAAATAACTATCAGAAGAAGACACCAAGCCGGGAGACTATGTAGCACCTTTAGTGCCGCTACATATTCAAAAGGCGCTACATATCACTGAGGATGCCAATACGAGAACAAAATCATATAAGGCGAGCGACATCACAGGATATTGCTTGGTGAATCCTTCATTTACCAAGGATTTTTTTCGAGGGACATTAGGAAAGCAAAACATACAATACTGCAGAAAAACTTGGAGGTGAAAAACATTCCACGAGGAGGTGTACGAGTGTAAGAGAGATAATTCAGTCTGGACAAGTTCAAGTTCAAGTATGTTTATTGAGATAAGCAATAAATACATCTCAAAGGGATAGAGTAGCTTAGGCTATTTCTACCCCCCTAAGTCTGGACAATAAGGAGCAGGGCGGCGTTCCATTAAATGTCCATGAGTTAATCGTGCATGACCAATACGGAACCTAGCCAAAGCCGTTTCCCATAGTCTTTTATAGAGGAAGGAGGAAGGCCAAGGGGACAGGTTACCATTAAGAGTGCATAGTTTGTTACCTGTAACCTCAGACCAACGCCCGTACCGGTGGTCTCATATTAAGGAATTAATGGCTGGGTAGAGATCTGAATAAGGAATGCCTTTTTGGGAAATAGTACAAGCGCGGATAACCTCTTTAGCGGCAGTGCCCACACGTTCATTTAAGGTAATACCAATATGGGTGAGACCCCAGCAAAACTCAACTGTCTTAAATCATCTGGAGATAAGAAACAGCTATGATGATTTTCGACTACCACATGATGGATAAAATTCAATGACTCCAGGGCCATGCGAGAGTCAACCACTGACAACGGAACATTGACGTTGGGAAAACAGTTGACAAAGTGCATAAATATTGCATACAGTTCTGCCGTGAGGATGTTAGTTCCCGGGGCAAGCGGCATATACAGGTGGGGTCAGGAAAGACAATGGAGAAGCCTATACACCGTCGGCAAACTTAAGACCCATCTGAGAAGAAGACAATGGAGCACGAGTGCGAAGAAGTGTTCAAGGAAAAGGCGTTTCATAAGCGTAGGAGGAGGTAGAAGCCTCTACCATGTGGGTCAAAGTCTTGCAAAACTTTGCAAGTGGGACCCTCTATGGGGCAAGGATGGAACGACACAAGGATATTGCTAACATGAACTGAGAAGGAATCTTGCAAGTGAGACATCCATACAGAAAGAAGGTGAAAGAGAACGGGGCCCACATAACGGTAACAGTCAAAGCAGAGCATAAGCGAGAGTGAGGATGTTGCAAGGACCGTGCAAGGAAGCGAAGGCAGTAACGATCACGACAATCCTCTTGAGAAAGGACTGAGGTTTCAGCATACAGGCTCAGGGTAGGGGATGAACGAAAATGAATGAATCTCTGCATGTGGGTTTGAGATTGAGATTGTTTCGTTTCTCTGAACGAAAATGAATTAAAAAAAGTCCACTTATGGATGTCAACGAACAAACTAACATTAAACATCGAAAAGACTTACTACATCTTATTTGGAAACAAATCATCAAATGCAATTCAGCTACAGATAGACAACATTAACATCAGTAATAAAAATGATGGCAAGTTTCTTGGCCTATTCCTAGACAAGAGACTCAACTTCAGCACCCACATTCAACACATAACTAAGAAAGTCTCTAAGACAGTTGGTATACTCTCCAAAATCAGATATTATGTTCCTAACTCTGCTCTCCTCTCACTATATTATGCACTAATCTACCCCTATCTTAATTATGGTATCTGTGCATGGGGGTCTACCACTGCAAACCACCTTAAGCCCATCATCACACAGCAAAAATCTGCTATCAGAATAATAACTAACTCTGCTTTCAGACAACACTCAGCTCCCTTGTTTAAATCTCTAAACTTGCTAAATATTAACTCCCTCCACACATTCTCTTGTGTCAACTACATTTACAAAACCCTGTTCTTAAATGCAAACCATGCTCTGAAACTCTCCCTGGACAGATGTAATAGGACCCATTATCACCACACCAGAAATAAATATCTCTTTGATATCCCCAGGGTCAAACTTAATCTGTGTAAACACTCTATGCAAATTAAGGGACCTAGTCTATGGAACTCACTCCCTAGTGAATTGAAAAACTGTAAAACTTTTGCCTTATTTAAAAGCAAAACCAAAAAGTACCTAACTTCATCTATTTAGTTTCCTACACTGAGCTTTAATTTGCTCTGTACCTAGTGGTACCCAATCTCCTAATTTTTATGTAATATCAAACAACCTTATCATTGTGTTCATTGCTGTCTTCTTTTATGTGCTAGCCATATGCTGTATTGTGACTACCAATTTTTGTCAACTACCATTCAAGCTGTCATTGCAATCAATCTTATATTGTTTCTGCTGTATTGTGCCTACCAATTTGTTGTCAACTACCATTTTAAGCTGTCATTGCAATCAATCATAGCTACCTATGTGCTTTAATATACTGTACCTATAATTTTCTCTCATCTTTTTTTTTTTTTCATTCCATGTAATCTGTTATCATTTTTTTGTCTATAAATTTTGCAAGTATTTACCTCCTTAAAATTTTCTTAGATTAAGGACCTGCCCGAAACGCTGCGCGTGCTAGTGGCTTTACAAGACTGTAATTACCATAATTGTATCCTAACATTCCTTATGTACATTCTTGTATATGCATAAATAAATAAATAAATAAATAAAAGCACCAGAGCTGAGGCGTAACCCAATATGGTGAAGAGCATCAAATAAATAATAAATAAATAAATGTTTATTTAGGTAAGGTACATACATACAAGAGATTTTACAAAGATTGGTGGATTTATAAATAGGGCTAGTACATACGTACTAGTACATACATCATAGATACATACATACCCCACCCATAGCACTACTGTTCCCCACCCATAGCACTACTGTTCAACAAATCTATAGAGTATCACACCTTCCCTGATATCCTCAAAAAAGCAAGAGTAACGCCAGTCCATAAAGGAGGCAATCCGGCGGACATAAACAATTATAGACCAATATCAAATCTACCCATTCTATCAAAAATATTTGAAAAAATTATTTACAAACAGCTCTATTCCTACCTCGTAAAATTCGACATACTCAGCCCCTGCCAGTTTGGCTTCCGGTCCCAAAAGAGCACCAATGATGCAATCATTAGTCTCCTTGACATTATCTACTCAGCCCTTGACAAAAATGAGTTTCCGATTGGACTCTTCATTGACCTAAGAAAAGCCTTTGATACTGTTAATCACAACTACCTCTTACTTAAACTCCAGCATTATGGAATCCGAGGCCTTGCCCTTGACTACATCCGATCCTATCTTAGTGACAGACACCAATATGTAACCATCAATGATACAACTTCTTCCACTCTACCAATTACCGTTGGAGTGCCACAGGGCAGCATCTTAGGACCTCTTCTATTTCTTATATATATAAACGATCTGCCTAATGTCTCTAATATTCTCAAACCTATATTGTTTGCTGACGATA